TCCGATAATAGTAACGCTTAGACCCCAAGGGTCAAGAGATTATGGTCGATTAATAGGTAAATATCTTCCCCAAATCATCAAACGAGATTAGTGAGAGGGGTTTGAGTCTATTTTGTTATTATGTGTATATTTATGAGTGAAACTGTTGGTTTTGGATGTCAGGAAGAATCGTCGTCACTTTAACAAGCTATGTTTTTCTGAAGATTCATATTACAAACATATAGACAAATATTTTAATTTTCAAAAGACGATTTACTAATCGTACACAAGATAAATAAGAGATAAATAATCCCATCAAAAACATACTGTAAAAATATTGCAAGTCTCGCAACGCATCTCTCTACCGCAAAAAGCTATGAGATATAATGTAAAACCAAGTCGGTTAATTTATTCATTACCTATCTATGGAAGCATCTATCCGACAACTTTGTCATAAATCGTTACCGAATTAGTTAAGTTACAACATTTTATAGTGACCGTATTAATATTAGATATATTTATTTCTTTAATTAATAGAGTGACTTGGCCATCGCACGGAAACATAATCACATAAGAGTCGACTACTTTAAATAGTCCTAATTAAAAATAACATGACCAAGGTGGACGGACGACTTGGTCAAAGTCACTGGAGCCCACTGGATGCGGATGGCACAAGACTGGTTATCGTGGAAATTTTTGGGGGAGGCCTATGTCCAGCTGTGGACGTGTTTGGGCTGAAATGAACGGAACATAGTACTAGCGGGTCAAATTGATGCATACACTAACAATACATAAATAATGCACTCAGAACGTTAATATTAGGTAAATTTTGTTATTTGTAGGTTCTGTTATCATGTGCGATGGCCAAGTCATTCTATTAATTAAAGAAATAAATATATCTAATATTAATACGGTCACTATAAAATGTTGTAACTTAACTAATTCGGTAACGATTTATGACAAAGTTGTCGGAATTCTCTTACTTCTATGGTTTGGTCGATAAGTATAAGAGATCTGGGTTTGATCCTATATAAACTAGCCATTGATTAGTTAGTGAGGTGAATGCTGATGAAACGGCCTCGATTCTATCGTAGAACGATTTGAACGTAGGTAGGTTTGTGTAGCTCCAGGAAGTCAGGGACTCCCGGGAGGCTACACATGACTGCTGTTGCTTATATATATGTATTCTTCTTCTTCTCCCTGCCCATTTCCCAAATCACTTGGGGTCGACGCAGTACATCTTCAGTGTACTGCTGATAGGATTTGGCAAAAGTTTTACGACCGGCCGCCTGCCTGACGTCAACCCTCCTTGGGAATGCTATTGTCTTTCTTTGTCTGAATGGTGTTAAATATTATGCACTTTCGATTTTGTTGTGTTTTAAAACTTTTTTTGTACTATTAATTCAATTATTAATGTTATTTTTGGATATATTATAAAATAAATTTCGATTACACAATAAATTTTGTATTGACATTGTCAAATTTTTTCTTCGAATTTTTTTTCTTAAATTAATGCTAAAGATAAATGATATTATATAAATGGGTACAATTTTATACTATATTTTTACTAAATGCTAAATATAAAATAATCTTATACATATGTATTAATTTATATATTAAATATATTTTTCCATAAAACTATTTACAATATATATAATTACATTTTAGTCGTCACTAATACTTACAGTATATCCACTATTCACCTAGCTATCCATTTGGGTAGTTTAAGTGACGACAATTATATGTATGAACTGCAAAAGTAACTTTGTAATCCCATATATCGCATATCTATTTGTATAGGATTACAAAGTTACTGATGCAGTTTGTTGTATATCTCGAAAACAGGATTGAAATTGCGTGATGTTTGAATTTTTCCTTAGGTTATAAAGTAAACACTAATTGTGTTCAAAATTTGAAGCTTCTATGTCTGCTAGAAGTACCTTAGAATTTTGATGATCGGTGAGTGAGTGAGTGACGATATTAACGAATTTTGATCTACAACAGTTCATAAACTACTGGTTCAAATTGAATGTAATTTGGAAAAGTACCTAGTTTTATTATGTTCTCTTAGTCACTCAAAATTAAAGCTTCTAGCTTTATCCATAACGAAGTTATGGGGGGGTGGAAAATGCTCTGAATCCCTTCGAGAAAAGGATGGTACTGCCGTGCCCTTTTTTGCTCGACTTGTTTGCTCGACTTGGCGGGGGCACTGCCGTGCCCCCCGATAAATATGTTAGGTCATCACCACACAACACCATCTAGTTCCATGGTAAGCTACGAGGCTTGTGTTATGGAAATCAGATAGCTCATACACTACACATATATAACTTTAAATACATACATATTAAATATAAACACCCATGACTGCAGTACAAACATTCTTGCTCATCACACGAATGCCTCCAGCGGGACTCGAACCCGCGACCGCTGGCACAGCAAGTAGAGTACACTACAAACTGAGCCAAACGTGTCGTAGTCAGGTAAAGTAGATAGATATTAAATATTTGGACATTTTGTTTAAGAAGAGAGAAACTGTAGAAGTATTATTAATTCTCAGATTTAATATTTTACAAAACCACAGAGTAAAATCTGGTTGAAATAAAAATACAAGTAACATCAAACCCATTTATTTGCGTGTATTATATTCACAATATACAGGGCGAGCAAAAGACCAGGGAAAGAAAGGACACTTAACGTAATTTTATATACAATTTTAAACATTATTATTAAATATTAACTATACAATAAAAAATACAACTATCATTATAATATATATTTTTACTTTTAGTATTCGATTAATATTAATATCTAAGTCCATATTCCCAATATTGGGATAACATTATAGTTGAGTAAAATATATTCGTTCTTTGTCCAGAAGTGGGACGAAGTGAGAAGGAAGACTATAATAAATTTATACTATGTATAAATTATTATTATTTATTATTTATTATACATATATTATATTCACTATGATATCTGACATTATGTGCTCATTAGCGTCCGATAATTTAGTCACTCGGGCGCATTCATCCTGGTCTGAGCGGTTGAGTTTTAGTGGAAAATAGTGGCTTTTCTAACCGGTGCGTCCCACATAACCACCTGTATGTATGCAGGTGATATGCGTAAATGCATACCCCAACCTTTAAAAAAAAAAAGAAAAAAGGTACTTCTCTGAGCAGAGTGGACCGTTGCAACCCTTTGGTTGTGTGGTCTACCTCGAAAGACCAGCCATCGGGACGAGTAGTAGACGAGCAATCCTGTGACGTCACGAGATCGGTATCGATGGGACGGGGGCGGTTCCGTTGGGTTTTTAGATGTACAAGACTGAGAAAACCATCTTTCCAACATCACTGTCATAGTGAATATTATCGAGTCAGATTGTGATTATAATATGAAAAAAATAATTTATATATAATATAATATAGTGGATGTTAAACCTTTATTGAAAAGTTATATTTAGCAAAACTTCGTAAACTGGTCCGAATATGAAGAATTTGAGATATCCTACAAATATGGCTTACAATATATATTTAGAAAGAGAGTACAATAGTTAATAGAAGACTTAGCAGTTATTTTAGATATGTAAATATTGTTAAGATTTAAATAGTTTATAACTAGAGAATCGATTTTTTAGGACTATCCAAAAGGAAATACATATATTATTAGCATTTTCAATATAACCTTTATGTAGCTTACTGTGATAACACTTGTCACTTTTCTGTATATAAACATCATATATCTGCATAAATCCTGTTGCGTAAAACAAATATAAATCAACAAACTTACAAAAAGCTATCGAATTTAGAGTATTAATCATAGGGTAAAAGTAAGGAACTTTCTTTAGGGATGGTACAGGTATAATTTCAGGAGATTTTCAGAGAATCACGCTTCACTTCCTGCTTATTTTAAAACGGAGCACGCAATGTTGCAAACCCTATTAATAACCTTATAATTAAATATAACGAGGGAAGATATTTTGGTATAATGAAACTTCCCTGTCCGAAAATCGATGCCACTTTACTTGGAAAAGTAATTTTTATATAATATCATTAACAATGTGTTCCAAACATACAATAATTGTTAAACTACCTAATTGCTATACATTTTGTCGACTCATCGAAATCGTTACAGCATATATTTGAAAGGGTACATTTAGAATGAATACATATGATATGTTATGTTTAGATATATGTATGTGTAAATAGTAGGTACTTATTTTAAAATCTAGATCTAGATAATCTAGAATGTGATTACGTAATTTTTATGTAACACCTACAGTCTGTCTTCCCGAGGTCCTGGCTCAGTGCTGGCCCCATATACATATACTTATGCTATAATATAATATTTATTATATGTATATAAGTAATATATTATTTATTTACAATATCACTATGTGTCTTTTGCAATATATATACAAGTCTCACTTATTTATTTACAACTTATTATAGTTTAAATAACGGTAATCAAACCTGCACCTATCAATTATAAGTTAATGAGATTCACTAACTTCGTTTTAATATTAATGCTATATGGAAAATTTGATAAAATATATACAGCTTACATGATATAGTATTTTTTCAATATTTTGAGTTCGAACTCATATATCTAGTGTAATTAAAGTTGATAAGCTAATCTTTTAAAAAATCTTTTTGACTTTAGTTCATTTAATATTAGTTGCAGACGTAATACGAGTATATATATATATATATATATATATATATATATATATATATATATATATATATATAATATATATATACATATATATATATATATATATATATATATATATATATATATAAATATAAAATCGATTATATAGTTTATGCATAAATACTTTTTTAATGGTTGAGCTCAAAAATATTCAACTTAAACGGCAATGTACGACATTAAAAGTAAAAGAATCAGACCACAATCGGCTTGCGCTCTCTCAGTTTGCAAGAGCAGCTTTTCTTTTTGAAACAATTATTATTTTTGTTGACAACGACGTCGTTTAAAGACTTGGACGACTCTCGTTGCTATAACGCGTCTCTTTCATTCATCTCGTTAAGAACTTCATTTTTACCTTTTACGTTATTATATTTGGTATCTTTTTCTGCTTTGTTATTTTTATCTATTTTGTTTTTATCTTTTGTTTCATCTTTAACTTTGTTTTTATCTTTTAGTTCATCTTTAATTTTGTTTTTATCTTTTATTTCATCTTTAGATTCGTCTTTTGCCTGCACAGTCTGCCCGTTGGTCAATTTGTTGAAGTCCGCTGGATCTGTTTGGGTTCCTTTGTCAGCGCAAGGTGGTTCTGAAAAAAAAAAAATAAATATGAAATCTACGAGTATTTTATAACAAAATTGAGTTTTAAGTAAAAATATTCTAAAAGAAATAAGATAATACAAAAACAAGAAAATCCTCTAATTTCATGTGTTCCTAAATTATTGCCACATTCTTTAAGTTCATAATACAACGTTTTCAATTGAACCAAACCTGTGTAACTTTGAACTCAGTTACTTCTATACCAAATACATGATAAATAGTTACTACTACGCCAGACAGTAAATAAATATAAGTAAAACATTAAACTTATTTATTCAAAACATTACAGCTCGAAATATGATGTCGAATGTCATGTTGCCGATTAAGCTTTATATTTCACGCAATTTAAATTATAAAACACTAGCGATACACTAGATTCATTCCACATACAAACTTTCATCCCCATTTTCACCCCCTTAACGGATGATAACCGAGATAAAAAGTATCCTATGTCCTTCCCAAGGTCTCAACCTATCTTCTAACCAAATTTCATCTAAATCGGTTCCGTAGATCCAGAGATTACCCCCTACAACGTCACAAACTCACAAATCCACAAACTCACTTTACCTCTTTATAATATTAGTATAGATTTAGCAAAAAAAATTTTTTTTAATATTAACTGACATATTATGCAGATGAGTACATGCAAGTCAAACACATTGGCTTCTCCGGTCGAGGCGAGTAAAAAAATAATAAAGGAATCACAATAGAGCGTTCCATTTAACTATAAAAATGGCTGCAATATGCATAAAGCTGTTCGACTCGTACAAGGCGATTTGAATCGTACATTTCGTTTCCTAGAATATTTGCATAGAACTTTCGAGCGTGGAATATAAAATACCACCGATTGTTCCACGTGATTGTCTAATACTGATATTCAGATGTCTTGTAGTTCCAATTTATAGGTTTTTCTGCAAATTCTTAAAATACGTTTATTTTATGAGCACTGCATAGTTTTGCTCATGTCTTTTTTTTATTTGTTAAAAAATCTACTGTAAAGAAGCATATTTTACGAATTTATCCATCTCAAAAAACAGATTGACTAGAACAGACCATAGATTTATGTTTATGGTTTCAAGTGAACTCAACCCCATAAAAAGTAAGATTTTCTAGTTAAGCAAGTTTTTTTCGCGGGCTGTAACTTTTCAAATATTTTACACACTTAAATTGCTGTTTTTTCTAGATAGGATTCGCGTGTAAAAGAAGACATTTTTCAAAAAAATTCAAATTCAAAAATATAAAAAAAAATATCAGTTCAGCGATAGTTTTATAAGAAGAAGGCGTAAACTCTTTAATACGTTTAATTTAAAATGTGACGAAACTCCTGGTGTTTACATTACAAATAAGGCTTTGTTATTTATTAAAACAAAACCGTTGTACCGGGGATGGCCCAATATTTGCTAACGTGACCTGCGTCAAATGTCAGAACTGTCAACGGTCATTAGTCACTTTCAAAGGTAAGGTTAAGGAATTATTTTAGCTTTCTTAAAGGCATTAACAGGAAAATTGAACTCAAATATATTTGCTACTAGATTGCTTATTTCTTATTGAGAAAATCGAATCACAACCCAAGGGGTGAAATGAGTAATGACAAAACGGATTTCAATATTTTCCTTTTCCTTCAACCCCTTTTGACGTCTGACATCGCTTATTAGAAGTGTCACGTGTCAGAATCAATCAAATAAGCAACAACAAGCAAACAAGTCATTTTTGATGCTCAACTGGCACGCTTCGAGGTCATTACACGAGAATCGAATTGAAGTCATTTTGGTGACTTATTGATTTTTTTTATGTGTATGCTCGCTAATCTTAATAATTATATTGTTAAAATATTTAGTTTTAGTTAAATAATAAACAAATATAAATAATATGTTTGAGAAGAGCGGATAAAGAAGCTCGGTGGAACTGATGAAGAGATTTGCCTGAAGTCGATTTTTTATAGCTTAGTTAAAAAGTAGTTATTCCCCAATATGAGTTAAAATATTCCATTATAGGATTATTTGTTATTTAACAGTTAATTCTGATCTTAAAATATTGTAGTGCAACTTTGTTCAAATTTCAAAAAGAAATAAGTAAAGAAATTACAAGCACTTTTAAATTGTCAATGTAGAGCGTCAGTGTCGTCAGTCCGTGAGGAAGCTACCACCGGAGGGAAAGCAGTTCTGCTGAGAAGAGCTGGTGATAATCCTGTTTTTCTTTATTACTATCCATATCCATACTAATATTATAAATGTGAGAGTTTGTGAGGATGGATGGATGTTTGTTACTTAATCACGCCAGATCAACTGAACGGATCTGGATGAAATTTGCCACAGAGATAGACTATAGTCTGGAATAGTATATAGGTTTTCTGCTTTTTATCTTGGAAAAATGTACGGTTCCCGTAGGATAATTTGTTTTTATCTAGGGACGAAGCCGAAGCGAAACGAGGGTGAGTTGCTAGTTAATAAGCATTATCAGTTGGTTTCAATAAATACCCTGTCCAGATATCTTCAGAAAAAAGAGTTTTTATTTCCCTATATGTATTATTTGGTATATATTTTTCTTCCTATATTATTAAGTGTAAATGAATATAGGCATAATATAATGAAAGCACGTTCTCGTATATTTCCAGTAAAATTGGTCTGATGTTAAACTTTGTTTTGTTTAGTTGGTACCTATATGAAAACTATTTCAATTATTATAAAATTTTCGGATGGAGACTGCGGTTATTGTGAAAACTATTCATAGTCTATACATACTCGTATAATAAAATTCGTTGAGTCGAATCTGTACCTTAAATATTGTTTGGAAAATCTTACTGAAATAATCATTATTATCGATACAGAGGCAGAATCTATAGTTTTTAGAATTTTTGTATGGCTGTCTGTCTTTTATGTCTGTCTTTCTGTGACCGCATCACGAGAAATCCATTGGACAGATTTTGATGAAATTTGGTATGGTGATAGCTATCCGGGTCAACATATATAATACATTTTACTTCGAGGAAAAATCTCATCTCTGAGAACTAAACGTTAAAACATAAGTAATTTTATATAAGGCGAGAGTTAGCAAGTTTTATTCTAGGTATACACAATCAAGTTTACATTTTACAATAATTTTATAGTACATAGACTAAGTAACTCTAGTCTAAATCCTTCATACCAAAAAATAATCTTGTTGATTAAACCACTCTCTTTTTATCATCTATGATAAAAGAATTCCATTTCTTTACCGGAAGGAACCCCCACTTTACCACTGGAATTTCTGACTCTTGCTTAATCGGTTCAGTTTTTTCGGAGATAAGTGCGTCGAACACAAACAAATCACAGCATTTTTATATAAGCTAATATCATGTGAGCAGACAATATAGGCAATATTAAGCAAAATTATTGTTATGTTAGTGCTGTGCTATTTGTATTATTTGTGCCAGGTCACGATATTTGAAAAAATAACTAAATACAGATATATAATAAAATATGGAGCCATCACAAAATATCTGTAACTTATAAGAAATGTACATATAAATAGACAAAACAGTTCAGCATCTTTTTCCTTTCTGTCTGTCAATCGATTTTCTTCTTTTCTATTTAGTAGCTATTAACATATTTTTAGGAACCAGGAGTGAATTTTTTTATAAAAAAGAAGAAATACCAGTTAAGAACTACTTTTATGCAATCACAAATAATGTAACTTCAATGCTAATCTAACAAATACGACACAGCTAAGACAAGTGAACGCTCCGACGTTTGACGTGCAAAAAGCCCTGTCATCTGTTTGACACTTCCTTTTATAGGCGCAATGCAACTCGATCCTGTTCCTTCTCGTTCATTCCTGATATAATATTTAACGACTATGGTCTCTCGGAAAGCACTAGTTAGTTTAAATTTTGTATAACATTCTCACAGCATAATACAGACAAATTGAGGCCTTCAAGAAGTCGATCAATGATAAAATATGTAAAAGCTAGCGAGTTGGTTCGCCTCAATACTTCAAGAAGCCAACCACAAAAGCCAATATTATACCATCTTTCATTCCACATCAACTGCAGGTTTGTTTCCAACGGACGCAACACACTGTGAAATAGAATGTTGAGTCGAACTTACTCTTATTTGGTGGGTGTGGCAAAGCGAGCGGCGGCGGCTTGCGACTGTAGCGTACGGGCATGATGCTCTGGCGGACGTTGCGTTCCGGACGAATTAGTATTATGTACAGCTGTGGAATAAAATATTTGTTATATTTATCGGTCATAGTTTTTATATTTGTTTGTTTACGCACTTTATTATGTTTTTTTTATGTTTAAGAGTTACTGGGAGTTTCTTAAAGAGATAAGTTGAAACCTATCAACATATAATATTTGATCGATGATGATTCGAATCGATCATAATCGAAATCGATGATAGTGAGTCGAAACTGTACATCAAATATTTTTTTGGAAAATATAATTATTTAAATAGCAATTATTATAATATTTATAGTTTTTAGAATTTTTGTGTCTGCCTGTTTCATCAACATAAATAGAATTATTTTTGCTGCGGGAAAATATCTCACCTTTGAGAAATCTATACTAAACGTTAAAACGTAACGAGGGGCGAACCCGAGCGGAGCGAGGATGAGTCGCTAGTATATTATATTCTTTATATGTTCCAGATTTGTATAAGTTGTAGATATAAAAATGAGTTTGTAACGCTCAAATTTCATCGTCAAAATTAATAAATCATTCATTCTAGCAGATCATAATACTCTGGCTGATTATAATAAAATTTAAACCTTGTCAATAATTTTAAGCTAAAATTATATTACTAAGTTAATTTTATTCCCTTGATAATTTTATTAATTAATTTATGCCTTAGCCTCTACCGTGACCATGGCCCCTGTAATGCAAACTCCGAAATGTCGGGACCAAATCCGAGAAGATAGATTCATTTAAAACTTATTACTCTGATGAAGAATTGTTTGTACGTGAAGATGTGTGAAATGGGAGATAAATTGAATTGTATGCGGGAAAGCTATTTTGCTGTATACAGATTACTGTAACTTGGTATTTAAACTGTTTAGTTTCGTGCGCTCTTCTCAGTACAACTGCTGTCCGAGATGGTAATTCCATGGACTAGACACTGGTTATTTTTAAATCAAATTGACGATTCAATAGTGCAAGTAAAAGTTTAATTGGGTAAAATCAAAATTTATTTCATCTCGTTTCATATGTCTGTCTATAAACATTGAACGAGTATTATTTGAGAATGATATTGTTTGTTGTACAAAGCAATAGTCTGGATTAAGTTCAGCAAGAATGCCTCACTTTCGGCAAAAAATAGTGTAAGAAACTTAGACTAAAGACAACGAAACTAACAATTCTTTAGCAAGCAGATCCAGGTTCGATTTTCGTCTAAGCCAAATAAATACCTTAGGAGAAAATAAGCAGACGAGGGTGACGCTTGCACTCAGTGATATAGTGACGGCCATGCTAGTGATGCGCAGCGGCACGTGGCTCGCCGTGCCGAAGTACAAAGGGACGAACGCCAGCCAGATCACGCACGTCGTGTACATTGTGAAACCTGCGTTGAAAAATTACTTGTATATGTAAGATAATGTTAAATAATAAAGAGGAAATATTTGTATTTTTGCATGTTTGTAACGACGAATAATCTCAAAAACTACCGGACCAATTTAGAATATACAGGTAATAGTGTATCTGTGTATTCGATTTTATCCGAATTCGTCCCGCTGTTTTAGCCTGAAGGAGTAACAAACATATACACATATATATACACACACACACACACACACACACACACACACACACACACACAAACACATACAAAATTTCGTATTTATAATAGTAAGACGATTATATATATTTTATCCAAATTAATAAATATGTTGGGACATTAAACACAGCACCATCTAGTTCCATGGTAAGCTACGAGGCTTGTGTTTTTGGATACCAGAGAGTTGATACACTACACATATATAATTTTAAATGCATACATTTACAATGAAAAATGAGTACAAACATTCGTGCGATTTGCGAATAAATTTTAAAAATTGCTAATAACTTTCATATCTTCTGTTATTTCTTATGTTCAAATCCATTCAGTACTTTAAGCAACAGAGTGTGCCAAGTAGATACTAAAAAATTGGAAAGCATTACCCTCTTTTTGGATTAGTCAGTTAATTAATCTAAAACTAAATTGCACAAATATGACTTTAGTTAAATACTTCAGTAATATTAACAGGGGAACGATGAATTAATTAATAATGAAGAATTTAACAGCAGTCCAAAGTGTCGAAATTTTGTTTAAGAAATATACAAGGTGATGGGTCCCTCGACACTAATTGCTAAGTTTGTTGAAGATATATTGTCGGGAATATCGTAACTTATACCCCTTTATTGCCGACATAATATTATTTTACAGTAATTTGAAATATGATAGCGGTCTACTGTCTACATTTGTCTCAAAATCTCGTGTATGTGTGTTTGTGGTCGTACTCCTCAGAAACGGCTCGACTGATTTTAATGACTTTTTTTGTATATTTGGCCTACCAGATGCTTTACCTATTATTGCTGTTGTAAAAACAGTCGTAACGTCGGGGACTAAGATTCAAAATAAATTTGCGAAAAAATGCGAATAAATATTTTTATTTAAAAATGTTAATTTCATAAAGGTGTGTATATAATAGAAAAGAAAGGAGTAAAATCCTTTTAAAACCATTTTCAGTCTTATAATAATCGCGAAAACTTAAGAAATAACTAAAGCAAGTTAAAATTACTTTCCAGAACAACTGTACATGTGATGAAGTATATAGAAAGTTTTTTCATTTCATAGTTTAGCTTTATATAGTTTATGGATTTTTATATAAAATAGTGTTGCTAATATATTTACTAGTAAATAGATTCTTTAGGTAAGATATTTTGATTTACTTTAAAAAATCGGAATTAATTAATTTTTTTCGTGCATGTTATACGTTATCTTTGCTATTTGTAAAAAAATATGACTTTTAGTGATGTGTTTGATTTATTTCAAAGTTTATATTTTACTTTTAGCGCATTAAAAAAAAAACGTGTCTCTGTACACATAAGAAGTTATTCTTCTTTGGCGTAATAAAGCAAAAATAGCTAAAGATATCATCCCGTATATCATAACTCTCTGTTTGTAAAAGGAATGTAGCAAACTTCATTATGTCGCTTTTTGGCTGTCGGTGTGCGCGCGTATCATAAAAATTTTACTCTCATATTTTTTTTAAAAGCGTCAAAAGATTATATTTTTGAAATTTTTGATATTTTTAGAAGTTATTTTTGAGTAAAACAGATTAACTATAAATAAAGTTAAAAATATCAATTATGTACTCACATACATTATAATATGGAATATTATACTAACGTACTGAATATAAAATAAAGAAATATATATTTATATACGAGTAAAGTCACAGAGTAATAAATTAAGAGTAGAAATGCATCAAAAACTACAACAAAACAAATGTAACTGAAATTCTATTGCACTCTAAATTCTAACGAAGTGTAACAGCTGAAAATGTTGAAAACAATTTGCTTCGCCAGCGTCGAGAATAGACAAAATAACGACTGACTGTAGACTTGCTATAATCGAAATCGCTAAGAGCATACTAAAAAAAAAATCTAATAAAAATGCTTTAAAAAAATGGAATAAAAAACGAAGGAGTTCTATCAAATAATATCAATTTTAATAGAATACGGTTTCGAAGTGAAAACACTGTAGCGACATCTCGTTTCAAATATTAGTAGGATTAGTAGACTGCTAAAATATATATGTAAACTAGCGATTCACCCTCGCTTCGCTCGGGTTTGTCCCGTTAGTTTTACAAAAATGTATGGAAGTCTGCCCGATATGTTGACATTTATGATTACTACTCCGCTTCCTTGGGTAGTAGCAAGATGATACTCGTATATAGCCTTTCTCAATAAACGGGCTACTTAATGCAAAAAGTACTTTTCAAATTGGATTTGTAGTTTCTGAGATTAGCGCGTTCAAACGAACATATATCATATAAATGATATACTCTGACCACGTGACATAACGCTTGGTCACGTCACTTATACATATATACTAGCATTGCCCGCGGCTCCGCCCGCGTTCAGATGACCAAAAACTAAATTCTTAGGTGTTACATATTAGTATACTCTTACATTGCAGTTTTTGTATTTTTCCTCAGAAATAAGATATTTTCCCGCGGTAAAAAGTATCCTAGGATCGCGCGCTACATCGCCCGGTTTATATAGCTTGAGCAGGCGGTCGAGCGATGCGGGGCAGAGGGGATGGACTCGCCGTAGGCATCTCAATGCTCGCCAAGCATTAAAAATGTTTCGCTACTAATTACTTCTAACAACGATATCTCAAAAACTATTCATCTGATTGATTTAGTGTAAAGAGCAATTTTAATCTGCATTAAATGACTAAGCTAACTAAAATATTCATTTGGATAAGGATTAATACCGAACTAAAGAAAATAACTTTGAAAATAACGTAATGTTTTTAATTAAAAATGTTAACATAAAAGTGGTTATTGTAAGTCAACCGTAAGAGATAGAGATATGCTATCGCGGACTTTTTTGTAGCATTTTTATAGATTTTGAATTCTCTAGTACATTACTTAACTGTATCTTTGCTAGTTTACGCGGCGTTCGCGTGGAAAGTTCCCATTTGGCGAGATTTTTTGCGACCTCTTCAACATTTGTCGCCGTATTTCAGCTAATTTACATAAAAGCATAATAAATTATATACCTAAACCTTCCTCAAGAATTACTCTTTCTATTGTTGAAAACCGTATAAAAATCCGTTCAGTAGTTTTCGAGTTTATCGCGTTCAGACAGACAGGAGGACAGACAGGAGGACAGACAGGAGGACAGAAAGACGCGGCCGGGGGACTTATTTTTATAATAAGTATAGATTGTCATGTCTATTATTTGGTTTTCTATTAGCGATAGCGAATTATATAGTTTTTATTTATTAAGGTTTTACAGTTTTACTTATAAGTAACTAGCATTGCCCGCGACTCCGCCCGCGTTCAGATAACCAAAAACCAAATTCTTAGGTTTTACAGATAACTATACTCTTACATTGCAGTTTTTGTATTTTTTTTCAGAAATGAGATATTTTCCCGCAGTAAAAAGTATACTATATGTTGACCCGGATAACCAGCTATCATCATACCACATTTCATCAAAATCTCTCCAGTGGCTTTTCTGTGATGCGGTAACAGACAGAAAGACAGACAGACAAAAATTCTAAAAACTATAGATTCGGCCTCTGTATCGATAATAATGTTCATTTCAATAAAATTTTCCAAAAAATATTAAATATACAGATTCGGCTTAGTTATAATCTTATATATTTAAACGAGCTATTCTTGTATATATATATATATATATATCTCAATATATAATCTGAATCTCAGAAACGGCTCCAACGATTTTCATGAAATTTAGCATACAAGGGGTTTCGGGGGCGATAATCGATCTAGATTAGTTTTATGTCTGGGAAAATGCGTGTTTTCGAATTTTCATGCGATTTTCTTTTGCATTTTCACAATTCTTGCATTGTCATTTATCAGTTGTCACTTCTGGTGGGTGGGAGGCGCTACTGTACAACTGTCTACACTATATCGTGTCCGTATTAAAATCAAGTTTAAAAATATTATAGTGGAAATAATCTAAAGAAAAGACATACAAATTAACCAATAAAACCTATGGGCAATATGTAAACATCACCAAGTCTTGATGTGCTGAAGAACAAATGAGCTTTTAAAAATTCACCTACCAACAAATACAAAAGTGACAAACATAAAATATAGATACTATCAGTGCAAAACCATATTTTCTGTGTCTGATGACAATAAAACAAAATAAATTTGTGAAGTGAAAGCGTAAAATATTAAAACATAAGTTTATAACCTCAAAATTTAATACTCTATAAAATGGTAATTCAACTAGGAATAATAGGTGCTCTTTTTCAATCAGCTTTTCTACTTCCAACTTCACACAAAGTAAAGTGGAGGACATAAAAAAGTTGTTAATAAACATGCAACAAGAAATAAGATGAATGAAATAACAATAGGCCAGAAACTAAAAATTCAGAAAAATGTCAATTGTTTATGTGGCACTCAATATTACATTAAAGAGGACTACCCAATAGAAGTCTTAAACAAACGCAAGGAGTTACAAGCCCAACTGAAGATAGAAAAAGACCTAGGCAAAACAGATTTCATTAAATATGACAAACTAATTTATTTATATATATTCTGTTATGGATAAAAATAAGGACACTTCTCGCCAATACTCAAATAAAAGAAGTCTGCCTGTATCTCCAGAAACGCCTTACCTCAATTATAAACAAAAACTAACAAATAAACAACATACAAAGAAAACCATACCTGGTAATATTAAAGACTTTATATTACAAAAACCAAAATTAACTTTCAACCACACAAATGATAACCAGGAACAACAAAAATCAACACTGCAAGATACAGTTTATTAAACACAGTAGGAACCTCCTCATCTTTATCCCCCAGTACG